TATATAGTATATATATTTTGAAGCTTATTTATAAACAACACTATAACAAAATGATGAAATTCCAACGGAAAGGTTCAATACAAATATATTTTAATGAAATTCCAACAAAAATATTCTGTTTGAATGAGTTCTCCATTGGAATTTCCTTTGGATTTTTACGATTCAACGGTAGATTTTCCAATGGAGGTGAAAATAAAAATTCCAACAGAAATTCCTACGGTAAAAAACCGTTGAAAAAATAGTCGTTGGAAAAATAACCGTTGGAATCATCAAATTCCTTTCTATTTTTTTTGGACATGTCTTGCTCGGTAGGAGCAGGCTGTTAGAAGAAAGGGTTGTGGCTAGTCTGTTCTGTGTTGGCTATCTTTTGATAGCATGTATATGTACTTTGTTTTTTAGCTTAATAATATTTTGTTGTCGTTGGATAAAAAAAAAAGAATCATCAAATTCCATCTAAAATTTCATTGGAAAAGTCATTCCAACGCAATATTTTCGTTGGAATTTCCGTTGGAATCATTCCAACGGAAGCTATACCATTGGAATATCCGTTGGAATTTTTGTTGAAATATATTAACGTAGAATTTTCTGTTGGAATATAACAATTTTTTTGTAGTGCAACTATTGGGTCAGTTATAATTTTTTGTACATGAATGTTGATATATAAATATATTAGCTTATGTAATATCAAAGAAAGGATTATTTTTTTATTTTGTAAATGAAATATGGTGTCAAATTAGCAATTATTAAAATAAAATAAATAAATATGGTATTTACAAAAAATGAGTGTTAAATAAAAAAGTTATCAAGTTTTTGTTTAAAAGATATGGATATTTAATTTTAAAATAAAATACAAGAATATTAACAGACAAAAATTACAAATAATATAAATATTTAGTTAAGTTGTAAAATACATTTATACCTTAATATTTAATGCAATTGCCGCTTAAAAAGAAAATAATAAAAATTGAAGTATCATATGAATAAGTTTATACACAGATATATATAGGTGAAAAAGAAGTGATTGACCAGAACAAAATTGACGCGAAAAAAACTACAAATGGTAATTTATTCTGAAATAATGTGTTTTTGTGGTTAATTGAAAAAATTAAATAATCTTTTTTCCGGAAAAAAAAAATTAAATAATCTACTGTACTAATTCATGTCACTTTAGAAGCGGGCAGCACAGCACCACACATGCGGCAGAGGAGAATCGACTACTCCCATTGGTTAAATCGAGCCGTACGACCAATTCTTCGCGTGGAAAGACAAGTTCGTCTTCTCAACAGTCACAAGGGGATGAAGGTCATACATTTTTTTTTTTTTTTTAAAACGGTTGAGCGTTAATTAAAGTATTTATATGATTATATAAATTGTGACTACGTAGTGAGTTACCTGAATGTGGAAGCGGATGGTAACTGCGGATTTCGGGTCATCGCGAGTCACATGTATGGTCATCAGAAGTACTGGCCAGATGCAAGAGAAAACATTGCGAAGGAGGTCGAGAACCACCCTGAATTGTACGAGTACATCTATTTTAGAGATATCCCGGACGGACTCCGTCGCATAAGGTGGCCCAAAGGCTCTTGTCCATCGACTCACTGGTTCGAAGTTCCGCAGGACCTCTTTGCCGTTGCGACCCTATTTAATGTGGTTGTCGTTCATTTGAGCTCTGGTCCAAAC